CACGTGAAGGTGATAGTGAGAGACAGCATTTCCACTCTTCTGCATAGCAACACGAAAGCAACGGGGTGCATGGAAACCCCCTGCCAACTCCATTGTTGGCAAAAGGAGGAGTCAGACAGCCTCCTAGCAAGCAAAGCAGAAATCTTTCCCAAGCCCCAGGTTCTGAAGATATTCTCCTGTTGTCATCTACAAGCTTTACTGTTTTCCCTTTTGTTCTTAGATCTACAACACACCTGGAATTGATTTTTTTTTTTTTTTTGTATGATGTCAGGCAGTGGTCATGATTTGTTTTTTCTTTAAAAACACAGAAAGACTTCCAGACTGAAGATCCTCAAGAAGGATTCCGTAGGGTCTTATTACAAGGTCCATTTTGGGTCTTGTTTTTAAGCAATGCCAGGAAGCTGACCAAAGTACTCTCTTCCTTTCAAAGCAACAGTGCATTGAGATGCATCTCCCTTTGAGGGCAGAGGCATTTGCTTACACATATTGGAACTTGGGCGCTTTTACATTGCAAGGGAACCATTGGCAATTCTCCGGTCCCATCACAATTGCTTGCTGGAGAAAATGCACAGTGTGAACCCCTGGGGAGGGGATATTGCCAATTCTATGACTTGCACAACTCGCAAATCGAGTCCTTCCTCTCCTTTCACGCCCTCACTGTCTCAGTGCCAGCCATCTGCATCCTTAGGATGAGGCCATGACCCAAAGGGACTGCTAGGGCGCTAGCCTTCTTCCTTTCTGTCTTTGCAATCCCTCCAATGGGTTGCCTGTGATGCACACCACATTCTGGTTTAATGCTTATTCAGTTATAAATTGTTTTCTTTCTCTTCTACTTTTGTGGAGAGGTTTTCTGGGTTGGGAGAAGATTTTGTTTTTAATTACATTTCCCCAACATACTCCATAACAATGGGGAAAGGAGTTGTCCCCTTTCCCCATTGCTATGGAGTATGTTGGGGAAATGTAACTCATCCGACCAGGCACTTTCTCAGGCATCAGTCCCAATCAAGTCATGTTATTATAGCAAGTGTTGTCCTTTCCCCATTGCTATAGAGTATGTTGGGGAAATTTAATTAAAAACAAAAGACAGAAAGGGCCTCACTCTTCTATACAGCTAAGTGGGTCTGTATCCACTACAGTAGGCAAGTTTCACAATTCGGAGCCAGGCGGCAGCTGAAACTGAGAGATGAGGAGAGTTATCTTCCCGGATGATTAATTACATTTCAAAAAGCTGGCTCCCGGATCCCAGAGGAGAGGAAACATTCCTGAGTTGTGAAACTGGCCAGAGCTTCTTTAGCCATTTAAAAGATCTACATACATTTGAAAAGGACTGAGAAAGAAATTCCAAAAGATAAAGGAAAAAGGTGCAGGGAGTCTCTTGCCTTATTTTCAACAGAGAGAATGAAGCCTCTTGTTTTTAATCTGTATTTGCCCTTACAATCTTCTTCCTGTGTTACTATGAAATAATAACATTGCGATATTTAATTAACACCATTGTTGCTTTTACCTTTTTCTGGGCAGGATGCAGATGCCTAAATATCCAGCTAGTCCATAGTAAAATGCAAAACAATGACCACAATTGAAATAGCATCAGTTTTTGAATTCAGTACAATATTTGCTTTGGAGGACAACGTTCAAATATATCACACCAATGGTGCAGGGTTCAATCAGATTCTTCATAAGCAATGTGTAAACATTTCCCTCCATCACACATTAATTGTACTAGCTGTCATGACATCTTCATTGCTTGAGCTTTCAAATAGCTAACCATTTATTGTTTCGTGGCTCCTTACAAAATATTATCCAATCCAAGCTTAAGGAGTAGTTTAACTCTGGAGTCTTATAATTTAAATTTTTAATGAAGAGTTTTCCTTGTAAGACCCCCCAGAATTTCTTGAGTTTTCATCATATATATATATATATATATATATATATGTGTGTGTGTAACTTTTTTTTTTTTTTTTTTTTGAGAAGGAGTCTTGCTCTGTTGCCCAGGCTGGAGTGCAGTGGCGTGATCTCTGCTCACTGCAACCTCTACCTCCTGGGTTCAAGCGATTCTCCTGCCTCAGCCTCCTGAGTAGCTGGAATGACAGGTGCCTACCACTAGGCCAGGCTGGTCTCAAACTCCTGGCCTCAAGTGATCCACCCACTTCGGCCTCCCAAAGTGCTAGGATTACAAGCGTGAGCCACCACGCCCGGCCCTGTAACATATTGACAATAATAACGTAGGCCCTTTGGTAATTGTTCTGTCTTCCTGAATAGTATTTCTCAATGTGAACTACAAAGATACCTATGGCCATATCTAGGATCGAAGTCTTATTATGAACTTCCAGGGTGTAATGTACACAGCCCTATCTGTTTTTTGTTTGTTTGGTTGGTTGGTTTTGAGACGGAGTTTTGCTCTTGTTGCCCAGGCTGGAGTGCAATGACATGATCTCAGCTCACAGCAACCTCCGCCTCCTGAGTTCAAGTGATTCTCCTGCCTCAGCCTCCCGAGTAGCTGGGATTATAGGCATGCACCACCACGTCTGGCTAATTTTTGTATTTTTAGTAGAGATGGGGTTTCTCCATGTTGGTCAGGCTGGTTTCGAACTCCCGACCTCAGGTGATCTGCCCACCTCGGCCTCCCAAAGTGCTGGGATTACAGGCATGAGCCACCACACCCGGCCTGCCCTATCTGTTTTCAGTTGAGGATAAACTCATCCTACCGGCACTTTCTCAGGCATCAGTCCCAATCAAGTTATGTTATTATAACAGCCTATTAAGTCTCCCTGGATAACAGACAACCTTTGTTTATCTATCCATACTGGGACTGGAGAGAACTTGCTTTGTACAATTAATGAAGTGACATTACACCTGTCTTCTCAGCCTCTGTCTGTAAATGCCAGCTTTCTATTTGTCTATTGATTAGATGGTATTCTTTTCATCCGTTCCATAGTCATAGTCTCAATACCTAATTGTTTCCTTAAATATGAATAGACCTGCTAATGATGATATTGTAGAACTGTTTTGTAGCTAATTGCTGCTGGGCTATGAGTGAGGGCCTCCTACAGCTTGATGAGATTATGTCTTCCCAGCATTAAATTATTCCAAACAGATCAATTTCAAATGTTAACAAATAACATGTTTGTTAGTAAAAATGTGAGTCTTACAGTAATTCAAATAACCACTACTGTGGATAGAGCAGCCAATACCAGTTACAGGAAAAGTCCTTTGTGGGAACGACAGTGCAATCCTCCCAAGGGTCCAGCTGCGTTTTTCTTTCCCTCTGATGGCCCTATAGGTGATCAGTAGCATTTGAAAGGGTTCCTCTCAGCACAGTGGCAGCCCAGGCCTTTCCCCTGGAAAAGCTTTGATGCAGAGGAAACCTCCCAGTCAATTGGGATGGTGGACTTCTTTGGAGGGATACCTCCAGATCCTTCTGACTTTTTAAGTCTCATGGTTTCTAAAGAAGAGAAAAGCCCTATTAAGTATTGAGTATGATTATGGGAGGATTCAGTTAAATCAGGCGTAGGAAGGACAGGCACAGTGGCTCATGCCTGTATCCCAGCACTTTGGGAGGCTGAGGCAGGTGGATCACCTGAGGCCAGGAGTTCAAGACCAGCCTAGCCAACATAGCAAAACCCCATCTTTACAAAAAATATAAAAGAAACTATCCAGGCATGGTGACACATGCCTGTCATCGCAGCTACTTGGGAAGCTGAGGCAGGAGAATCACTTGAATCTGGGAGGCAGAGGTTGCAGTGAGTCGAGATTGTGCCACTGCACTACAGCCTGGGCAACAGAGCAAGATTCTTTCTCAAAAAACAAAAATAAATAAAAACATTTTTAAAAAGTCAGGCACAGGACTTGGTCTTGAACCCAAATTAGAGCTAGGTCACGCTTGCTTAAAGGAGTCACTGTAATTTTAAACAAGGCTAGTGGTAAAGTTCCAGTCCATCTTAACATTGTAGGTTGCGGAATCTTAGCCAATGAGTCTTTCAGAGCTGGATTCATTAATTTGTTAATTCATTAATTTTTTTATTCTACTGGATGACAGTAGGAATAAAATGACTTTTTCTGTCTTATTAAAATGCTCTGATATTCCAAAAGGGAGATTCATATTTATTAAGAGAGCCTTTTCCATTGTTTATACTCCCTGCCTAAGCATCAGCTCCTTTTTTTCTTTCTTCACAGCTGACAACAAATGCCCTAAATGTTTCACCTCAGGTTAGCACTATTGCAATTTGTCTAGCAAGACCTTATGGCCCTGCCAGATGAGAAATTGCAGTAAAGCCAAAGCATCAGTTTTGCATTGCTCTTTAGTTTCTGAGGCTACTAGTAGCAAGTCATCTACATAGCAAATAATCATAGATCCCCCTGGTGGGAGAAATTCCTCTAAGTGTTTCTGTAAATGACCAGAGAAAATAATGGAAGCATTCAAAACCCTTGAGGAATTCTTTGCCATAAATATCAGACTTTCTCATAAGCAAAAGCAAACAAGAATTTAGATTCATCCGCTAGAGGAATGGAAAGAAAGAAAATGCAGAAAATTGATCAATTACAGAGAAAAACTTTGCAGACAATGGTACCAAAGTCAGAATAGTTGCTGGGGTAAAGAGAACACCACACATATTTACTTCTTTAAGTTTTTTTTTTTTTTTTTTTTTTGAGATGGAGTCTTGCTCTGCTGCCCAGATTGGAGGTCAGTGGTACGATCTCGGCTCACTGCAACCTCTGCCCCCCAGGTTTAAGCGATTCTCCTGCCTTAGTATCTCAAGTAGCTGGGATTACAGGCACGTGCCACCACACCCAGCTAATTTTTTGTATGTTTCTTAGAGACAGGGTTTCACCATGTTGGCCAGGCTGGTCTCAAACTCCTGACCTCAGGTGATCTGCCTGCCTTGGCCTCCCAAAGTGCTGGGATTACAGGTGAGCCACCACATGCGGCCGCCTTTAAGATCTTATACAAATAAATTCAGCGGTTGACCATCTTCATCACTTTTACCTCTCTTCTCTTTCAGAAGTGTGAGACTATTTCAAAGTTGGTGGCTTTTTCAATTTATCCCTTGTTTCTCTATTTTCTTTTTTGAGACAGAGTCTTGCTCTGTCACCCAAGCTGGAGTGTAGTGGCACAATCTCAGCTCACAGCAGCCTCGACCTCCCAGGCTCAAGAGATCCTCTGACCTCTGCCTCCTGAGTAGCTGGGGCTGGAGGCACGCACTACCATGCCTGGCTAATTTTTCTTTTTTCTTTTTTTTTTAATTTTTAATTTTTTATTTTTGTGGAGACAGGGTCTTGCTATGTTGCCCAGGCTGGTCTCAAACTCCTGGGCTCAAGTGATCCTTCTGCCTTGACCTCCCAAACTGCTAGGATTACAGGTTAGCCCCCACATCTGGCCTCTAATTCTTTTTTTTTTTTTTTTTTTTTTTTTGAGACGGAGTCTCACTCTGTCGCCCAGACTGGAGTACAGTGGTGCAATCTCAGCTCACTGCAAGCTCCACCTCCCAGACTCACGCCATTCTCCCGCCTCAGCCTCCTGAGTAGCTGGGACCACAGGCACCGCCACCATGCCCGGTCAATTTTTTGTATTTTTAGTAGAGACGGGGTTTCATGGTGTGAGCCAGGATGGTCTCGATCTCCTGACCTCGTAATCCACCCGCCTTGGCCTCCCAAAGTGCTGGGATTACAGGCGTGAGCCACCGCGCCTGACTCTCTAATTCTTTTATAACTTATTTCATTCCTTCTAATTGAGCTCCCAACAAAGGAGATCGTTTTACACATAGCTATGGCTTATCCCTTTGGTAAATTGATTTTATGGGTTCTATAGCTCAAATTAAACCAGCATCTTGATTCTCTAGGGCTCAAAAGATGCCTTGATTTGTGTCAGCTCAGGAAGGGGGCTTTTCCAGCACTGAATATGGTAGGCTTGAAGGTGCATGGCAGGTCTCTCGCCAATAGGTTTACAGAAGAGTCAGGAGAAAGGGGGAATACTTGCTCCTTAGGCAAAGGCAGAGGGCCCACCTGATGGGAATTGGAGGGAAGGGAACATGTAGAAGGCTGAGCCAAGACACCAACAACCTGTACTGATGGAAAGCAAGAGCTTTCCCAGGCAAATGCAGAATAAGTAGCACCAGTCTCTAGGAGAAAAGGCAAGGACAGATCAGCCTAACAAACAATGATCGACACACACACACTTAACCCTAATCCCTTCCCACCACTGCCATTTCCTCAATCTATCTATTTTGAGCCATTTGCAAAGCATCCCCTAGCTGAAGGTTTTGTCCTCTTAGGTCCCCACCCCTGATTCTCTTGTTCCTGCCATCCTTCATGCCCCAGTCTCTTTGGACAATCCCTCTTCCAATGTCCTTGCTTCTTGCAATGATGACACGTGTCTTGCTTCCTTTCCTTTCTAGGTTGTCCAAAGCAGGAGTTACTCCCTTTTAGTAAACAGACCTGAGCAACTAACACAGAAGTTTTTCAGTTTCTTTTCTTCTTTGACTTTCTCTAGATTCCCAAATACTGAATAGCTGCTCCTAAGCTTACATGATAGTCAGTCAGCCATCCTACCACCTTTTCCCTTATTTGAGTTTTTGTTGTTATTTGTTTTGTTTTTTGTTTTGAGACAGAATTTTGCTCTTGTTGCCCAGGGTGGAGTGCAATGGCACCATCTCTGCTCACTGCAACCTCCACCTCCTGGCTTCAAGCAGTTCCCCTGCCTCAGCCTCCCGAGTAGCTGGGATTACAGGCCTGCGCCACCATGCCTGGTTAATTTTGTATTTTTAGTAGGGATAGGCTTTCACCATGTTGTTCAAGCTGGTCTCGAACTCCTGACCTCAGGTGATCCACCCGCCTCAGCCTCCCAAAGTGCTGGGGTTACAGGCGTGAGCCACTGCGCCCGGCCATATTGGCACTTTTTAAGCCTCGTGTTTTTTAATGTCCCATTAACCAAAGCAAATCACATGACCAAGCACAGATCTGAGAGTGTGGAAAAATGGACTCTACCTCTTGCAGGGAGGAGCTGAAAGTTCCATCACAAAAGGGTATGCATCCAGGGATGGCAAGAATTTGAGGCCATTTTTGTGATCTCTTGCAGAGATTGTCCTTGGACATAAAATTCAAGGCTGGCAGTTATTTTTTTTGTTGGCACATCAAATATACCATTGTCTTGTTTTCTGGCTTCTGTAGTTTGTGTTGAGAAGTCGGCTGTCAGTCAAACTGCATAACTATAAAAGTAATCAACCCACCCACCAGCTGCTTTGAATATTTTCTCTTTGTCTTTGCTTTCCCTCAGTTTTACTATGATGTGCCTGGGTGTGGTTTTTTGTTTGTTTGTTTTATCCCGCAATTGGTTCACGTGACTTCTAGAAACTGACTTGATATCTTTTACCAGTTTGGAAATATTTCATCCATTAACTCTTCAAATGTTATCTGTGTCCCATTCTTTCTCACCTTGTTTTTCTGAACTCCAATTAAGCGTATATTAGGTCAAGCATGGCCACTCACGCCTGTAATCCCAGCACTTTGGGAGGCTGAGGCAGGAGGATTCCTTGATCCTAGGAGCTCAAGACCAACCTGGGCAACATAGTGAGACCTCATCTCTACAAAAAAAAAAAAGATGATCAAAATTAGCTGGGCATGATTGCATGCGCCTGTGGTGCTAGCTACTCAGGAGGCTGAGGCAGGAGGATTGCTTGAGCCCAGGAAGTTGAGGCTGCAGTGAGCAGAGATTGTGCCACTGCCCTCCAGCCTGGGTAACACAGCAAGACCTTGTCTTACACACACACACACACGCGCGCACACACACACACACACATATATATATTAGACCTTCTTTCTGTATGCCCTATGTCTCTTACCTCCTTTGCCTTGTCTTTTACCATCTTTTTACCTCTCCAAGCTTTAGTCTGGTTATTTTCTTCTGACTTATCTTTCAGGTCACTAATTCTGTCTTCAACTCTTGTGTATCCCACCCATTGAGCTCCTAATTTTAACTTGTATATTTTATATTTCTAAATTTTTCATTAGATTCTTTTTGTAGTTTCAAATTATCTGCTAAATTTCTCAATTCTGTCTTTTGTTTCCTTGAATTATTAAATATAATTATTTTAAATTCTGTATCTGATAATGCCATTATTTGGAGTCCTTGTGGCTCTGTTTTTATTATATTACTTTTCCAATTTCATTTTTATTACATTTCCTTTTCTCCTTATGACATTTTTCATTTGTTTTTAAGACAAGGTCTCACACTGTCACCTAGGCTGGAGTGCAATCATAGCTCACTATAACCTTGAACTACTGGGCTCAAGCAATCCACCTGCCTAGGCCTCCCAAGTGCTGGGATTGCAGGCATGAGCCACCATGCCGGGCCTTGTCCTGGTTATTTTTTATTGAGTGCTGGACATTGTGAATGGAAAACTATAAATCATTTGAGGCCGAGGACAATGTTATCTTCCTCCAGAGAAAATTTACATTTGTTTCTGGCAGGCAACTGGGGCACTGGAAATCCTGGTCACCTTAATTCAATTTTCAGGGATTGAAAGAGCTCAAATCTTGACTACAGTCCCTTAGGGGACGGAGATGCAGTCCTTTAGAGGGCTATTCTATTTCCCGTTTACACTTATTCCTAGACCTTTGGGTTTCCAACCCAAAGCATGAGGGGCTTACTAGGGCCCTCCTCCTTGGTGAGCCCTGAACTCTGATTTTTGACCCCTTACCTCATAAGTCTACTAACAGTTCTGCTCAGCTTCTTGGGCCCTCAGCTGTCTGCTGGAATTAGCGGATGGCCATAGGGGATAAGCAGCCTTAAATGCTGAGCTCATCTCTCAGCTCATTTCCTTTCTCCCATATCTTGGTCCCATATGCTTCACCACCTATTATCACTTGGATATTTTCAAGCAAATATTTTCCCTATTTTATTGAGTCTGTTTAGTTGTTCTCAGTGGAGGTCGTGGTTCAAATTACTTATTTTGTCATTGCCAGACACAGAAGTCATTCAGCACTAGGTTTTAGGCTCTATTTATATTGTTGGGTCTACATATAATTTTGCTTCCAAGTACTGCATAGCACTCCCTAATATTTTATCTGCTTCTTCAGTCACTGCAAATAATGCTGCCATGACCTTTGTCATGCAGGCCATTGCTCTGTCACCCAGATTGGAGTGCAGTAGCATGAACATGGCTCACTGCAGCCTCAACCTTCTGGACTCAATGGATCCTCCTGCCTAAGCCTCTCACGTAGCTGGGACCACAGGCATGAGCTACCACACGTGGCAAATTTTTGTATTTTTTGTAGAGAAAGAGTCTCACCATGCTGCCCAGGCTGGTCTCAAACTCCTAGCTTCAAGTAGTTCTCCCACCTCAGCCTCCCAAAGTGCCATGATTACAGGCATGAGCCACCACGCCCAGCCAAGAATTTTTGTGATGTATACCCAAGAGCAGAATTACCAGAATTACCCAACCTAGTGTACACTTTATTTGACAAGATACTGACATATTGTTCTCCAGAATGGTTGTGTTGGTCTGTATCTCCACCAGCAGTACATGAGCGCTCTCTAGCCACACATCCCTGCCAGCATTTGCTATTGCCTACATTTCTAGGTGTGTGCATATTTGTCAATCTAATGGGTATGCAGTGATACTGTTGTTTTGATTTGCATTCCTCTGATAATCAATGGGCTTGCACATCTTGGGTGTGGAATGTCTGCTGCTGGTGCTGCCAACACTTGGTGGGGCATGTAGAGCTGGGCTTCCGACCTCTGAGGAAGGGGTGTCATCTGGCAGGTTCTGAGAAGGCTGAAATGAGCTGGAACCTGAAACCACTGCTGCTGCTAAGGGCCGATCGAGACTGGCTCTACAGCAACACGAATAGAAAGCAAACAGGAAGGAGCAAGACCCTTCTCTCCTTCCCAGCCTTCCAGTCTCCCTCTAGTGTCCCAGTTGGTGGAAACTGACAGCCAGCCAGAAGACAAAGAAGGAATGTAGGTTCAGAGTCCCAGCGTCAGCCTCACAAAGCAGAGTATGGCACCTTCCC